AAAGTACTTTAAACTGTATAAATAATGTAAAATTAAATTGAATTTATTAGCCAATCAGACGAACTTCTGTCTATGAGTTTTTGCGTAACCTCATGCAAAAATATCATGGAGAAAAAAATTCACATGATCATATAAATGTCGGATAACTACCCGATATTTGACGTGTATTGCTACTTATTGGATAGATATTGCATCCGATAGGTATATTAGAGATCTGACACTTCTATTAACCAAATATTAAATATCCGACATTTTACAATAGAAGTATCAGATTTCTAATAGGCCTATCGGATGCAATATCTATCCGATAGTTTGGTTGCTATCGGCTTTATAAACGTCCGATATTCCGCTGATATCACTGAATTCTTATCGAAAATTTAAAGTTCGACCTGTCGATATTGTCTCACAATCTGATTTGATTTTAATATAAAAAATTCATTGATACACGAAAATTCAAGCTTATAATTAATGCTTGAAATTCATCAATTCCAATCTCAAATTTAATCACAGATATGAGATTTGATTATAGCGTATACCAAACTAATAACTATATTATACAAATAAAGGATTTTTCAAATGTCATCGACGAAGTCAATTACATTGTTAAACGGGTAATGTTTATAAAACTTTATGCAATGTAATTAATTTTATACCATTTGTAAATTATTCTTAACCTCTCTTTCACTTTTAGCTTTATGAATTTGCTGCAGATAAAAAGTATCCATTAAATCTTACAGCAGAATTTCGAATAAACAAGGCGTCTAAATGTCTGCTCGCTTCAACGTATGACGAAGATCCAGATGCATATTATTGCTTACTTGAAATTTTGTCTATTAACGGTACTCGAGATTTCCTTGATTTTTCAAGTGAGCTAGCCGAAAGATGGATGAGGAAATACAATGCTCAACCACATTGGGGTAAAATGTGGGAACACGTACCTGGTATTATTCCATATGTACGTGAACATTTGGGAAAACGTTTGAATGAGTTTGAAAGGATCAGAGCGAAATATGATCCTGATGAACGTTTCTTTGATAATGAATCTTTGAGAAAAATTTTTGGCAAATAATATACTGCTGAGAAATTTTTCTGAAAATATTATAAATCACTTTTTAGTTATTTATACTTATGATCATTATAAATATTAATAAAAATATATATCTATTTTCTTTTGTAACATATTGGATAATTACATAAATAATTATGAAATGAAATTCGTTACTCATTGATTTAAAGTCACTATTCAAAATCGTTTAGATTTGTCAATTATTTTTTAAACAAAAGAACGAAATCTGTAGCTTAGTTTTAAATTATGAATGTAATTATTGTTATCATCATTATTATTATAAATAACCATATTTTTTGAGATACGTATAGCTGTTTAAACATTTTATAACGCTTTGCATGTGATTTTAGTGATGATGATGGTTGAGAATCACCAAGATTCCAGATTCTTTACAGAACCTTTGATTTTTGCTAAATATGTATTCTTTATAATTTTTATATAATAAAAATATAATAAAAATATTTTTTAGTCTTTTAAATTACTATTAATTTGCTTGTTATCATATTACTAAAATATAAGCTTTGCTAAGATATTGGTAATATATTGTTAATATTATTTAATTATTTTAAACAGATTGTTATTATATTATTAAAAAACAATTGCTAATAATTTATTCACATATTAAGTTGAGTATTTAATAATAAATATTACATTCATTCCGCTTTA